CGGGGCATGCCTGGCAGTATGCCCCTCCAATACTTATAGAGACGCTATGACGGGAGAATGTAAAGGTACAACAGAAAACATACAGCACATTGAATATTGTTTCACTTATTTTATTATACATTTGTACATTCAGAAGTCTTGCCCTTTTGGGTATGACAAAGTCAGAGATGCTCTATTTCTCCTGAAACTTTCTTTTCTGAACATTTAATGTGCTATTGAGAGTCCCTTCATGCATCTTCTCAATTATATTCTCTATTATGCCCGAGTGTGTTTCCTGACTTTTAGCTCAGACTAAAATAGCAACGCTTTTTCAGACGGTTAACAGGCAGCTGTCAAACTTTGAAAACAGAACAGCGATGCCAAAGACAGTCCCTGGAGAAAGACGCACTCTGGTTTTGTTCTTCAAAAACAGAGAGGATGGTGTGTTTCTCCAAGGAAAATGTTGTAGGCGATGCCCACTTTTGTTGCTTCATACAGTAGCTGCCAGCAGTAAGACATTTAAAAGGAAGTGCTGCACTGCACAATGGACAGAGGGTGATTTTTCATCTGAAGTGAAAACAGGCTGCAGAAAGTCTTTTCACAGATCACTCTTCGAGAACCCAATAGGTGGAAATCCGAACAGATAGTTTCACTACAGAAAAAAATTAATAATTCAAATCTTTGAATAGTAATATGTAATGTGTTTTATTACCAAATAGACTACTACCATGTTAGATATCAGATACATTTGATGTTTCATGTGCTTCGCTGTGTGATATAATCCTTTGACTCTGTTACATTCTTACTTGTATTTCCAGACTGTGATGCATCTTGCCTTACCTGCTCCCACGCTGGCTCCTGCACCAGCTGCAGAGAGGGTCAGAGGCTAGAGGGCCACGGCCACTGTGGGCCATCATCCAATAATTGCTCACCTCACCAGTACGCGGACCAGGACGGGGAATGCCATCCGTGTCACAAATATTGCCACCGGTGTTCAGGTCCGGGCAAAACTCACTGTCTGAGCTGCAACCAGAGACATCTCCTGCTCAGTGAGTCGACCTTGGTCTTCGAATTCTCTAAAAATCTGCTGGATAGCTCTTGTTTGTTTAGCCCTCTGATTATGTGTGTTTATGTGTTTGGTACAGATGGCACCTGTGCGGATGAATGCCCCACGGGCTACTATGAAGAGTCGGGGCAGAAATGTGAACCTTGCCATCCTTCCTGTCAGTCCTGCGTTGGAAAGCACAGCCACGAGTGTCTCGCCTGTAAAATCCACTTATTTCGAGAGGGCAAGGAGTGTGTGGAGACCTGCCAGCACAGGTAGTTTAACCTGCTCACCGTCCAGCTGCGCCACTCATCCATCACATTAAGTGCGGTCACACAGTGTTGTCATTAATAAAAGATCGGCCGAGTCACTTAATGTCATTGTGGACACTAAACCGTTGCTTGTCTTCAGTTAGCCGGACAGGGCTGCAGTTTTGGGGATAGAAGCTAATTTAGCTTGAGATTTAAATAGCCCTTCATGTGGCCTGTAAAATGCTAATTAGACTTTATTTTATTTGGGGTGTGGTGATTGAGAGAGTTAAATTAATGGGCTGTTAAATTGAGGTGCAGTTATATCCTCCGGAGGAAACAAAAGGGATACAAAGGTTTGTTATTCCTGTGCCACCCTACATACTTTCAGACCTTCTTGGGAGCAAAGCAGCATATAGCAAATCAGAAAGTATTACTTTGAATTTATGCAGGACCTGTGTCTCACTCTCCTCAGCAAAGGTTTGAAGTGTTTTGTTATGGCTGCGTTTCCTCTCTCGTGGCGTCTTGCTTTCCATCATGTCTGGGTACTTACGGCTGTGCAAAGCTGCAAGTGACTGAGTATCTGTGGAAAGGATGTTCCTTTGAGGACGAACAAAACTCCAATCTCGTCTCCTTTTAATTGAATCTAATCTATCATAACTTTCTCACTATCCATCCGATAGTCACTATGGAAACACAGGCTCAAGGATGTGTGAGAAGTGTGACCCGAGTTGCAGCGAGTGTATCGGGAGCGAGGAGGACAGCTGCCTGAGCTGCGCTCTGGGTCTTATCTACTTGCGGAGAGAAGGCCGTTGCCTCCCCTCGTGCCCTCAGGGATACTACCACGACAGTGCACACAGGACCTGCGATGCCTGCCACGCCAGCTGCAGAACATGCTCGGGTATGAGCGTCGACTCGGCAGTAATTTGATATCATGCAGACAAACATCTGTGGACTGCAGATGTGTAAATGGTAGATTGCTTGGTCTGTGCTATGTTTCAAGAATAATAATGTGATATACAGTACAGGTTCAAATGTACTGCATATGCTACAAAAGAGACATTCATCTTAAAATAATATATTGACATATCAACATACTGTATACCATGAAACAAAATCACCATTCAGTTCACTTGTTAGTATTTCCAGCAGCAGGACGGTGTTTGTTGGATTGACAAAAAAAACAACTAAAAACAACACAGTGCTCTTGTTCATCGTAATGAAAGAACATGTCACCAAGTGCAGTGGTGTGGTTCAATCGATCTCCCTGGTACAGAGGACTACATATCAGGCTTTGGCTAAACAGACAATACTTGATTGCAGGATCAATTGATTGTTGGTTTTGATATTTTCTTGGGATTTGTTGAAAATAAGATAAAAACAGAATATCCCCAGACTTACTCTTTAAGTTGTCATGTGTCTGCAGGCAGAGATTCCCAGTCCTGTGACTCGTGCTACCCTGGATACCTGCTCTCAGATGGCTTGTGTGAGTCCATGTGCGACATAGGCCTGTATCCTGTGATAAAGGTAACCACACTCTTTGACCTTTTTATTTAAAAAAATAAAATCCTTACCCTGTCCTTGCCTCAGCCAAATAATTATTTCTAATATTTTGACCCTGGGTGTCATGCAATGTAATTCAGACAGACTTATAAATCTCCTGGCTCATGCTGTGAGGCAACTGACTGAAAGTGTCTGGCAGGTAGATGTATATTAATTTAGTTAAGCTGAGAGGCAGTGCATCACTTAAATTCAGTTATTTTAGAAAATAAAGTTGTTTACAAATATATTTTGGAGGCAAAGAATCAGTAGTTGTGATTTAAAATGCATGCTGTCGCTGCGAGTCTGGGTAAGTAGTATTTTCAAAAGCAGTCCTTTCTCTTGCCCCTCATCAGAATTCAGACCACGCTTGTGAAGACTGTGACGGATCCTGTATGGAGTGTCGCGGGCCTGGTCCAGCCAACTGCACCATGTGTCCTACTCAGGCCATCTTAGAGGCTGGAGGACGCTGTCTGCTTTGTTGTCGCCATGAGGAGGAGGAGGAGGAGGAGGCGGCCACAGCGGAGCAGCAGGACTGTTGTAACTGCACCGAGACTCGAGGTAGGCTGTAGGTCGGTCTTGCTTGTTGAAAGAAAATGGAGGAGGATGGAGAGGCACATGACTGAGTTTGAAGTCTTTACTGATTCTACAGGGGAATGATCTGTAGATTAAACTTCTCTCTGTCTCCCTTGCAAAGTAGACTTATTAGGGCTGAAACAAAACATCATTTTCATTATTGCTTATCTTCTGCTCATCAAAATTTCCAAGAGCACAAGGTGATATCTTTAAGTTGCTTGTTTTGTCTAAACAGTCCCAAATTGCCAAAAATACAGTGTATGTGCAGTGACGGGTAGCTTAGTGCGTGCTGTAGGTGACTTTTTCTGACATGCTATACTATGACTTTTTTATGACGTACTATTCTACGACTTTATTCCGAAGCCCCGTGTGTCATGCCTGTAGATCTCCCTCTAAGCATTAAGATAGGGTAGTCTTTATGTAGACAGAGGTTGAACCCAGGGGGAACACAGTCTGCAATTCACTTGCTGCTGCTCGTTATGCTTTTCACTGAGTGCATGGAATAACTGAAGTTGACTCAGATGAGCATATAAGTATTTGTATCAGCTCCTTTCTTCTCCCATCTGGATTCAAGCAGCTTGTCAGTGAGAGAGACATATTTACCGGTCTTTGTGGGTTTCTAGGAGAGTGCGTCCTGAGCACCAATTTAGCGTTCAGAAATGAAGAGGAAGAGGAGGCCAGGGGTAATCCGACAATCTTCATCATCGCCGGCATACTGTTGGTGCTGGGACTGGTGGCTGTCGTCTTCATCATCAGGCACTCCCGCTCCAAGAGGGCGCCCCCAGACATCACTCCCCGCGGGTACGAGAAGCTGGGCTCGGGCAGGGGATATGGCGGCGGCTACAGCTCTGCTTCCTCAGCATCTTACAGCGGCCGCACCAGCTCTTCCGGAGGTCAGTTCCAGGAGGCTCAGTTGGTTGACATGTCTGAACGTCGCTCAGGGAGTAAGGGTAATGATGACGACGATGATGACGATGATGATGAGGACATTGTTTACATGGGCCAGGATGGCACCGTGTACAGGAAGTTCCGGTATGGACAGCTGGGAGAGGACAACGACGACGAGTTGGAGTACGATGATGAGAGCTACACGTTCCGGTGAAGTAGAAACATTCCCCCTCTTTCTTTTCATCTGCGCTGTTTATCTCCTCCTTCACTGAATAGGAGTTGAACCAAATTAGACACAAGAAGCTATTTATAATAAGCTACATTTTACAACTATTCATTCACAAAATGTGCTGCAGCAAAATTCAATGCTATTTAATATTCTCATGGATTTTTTTAAATAATTATGCTTGATTTTTTTTTTTCTGGACTGTTTGCAGAATGATGACGTCCAGCATACATAATAAAATGCATCGTGGACATTTACTAGTTTTGACAGTTTAATTAATCATATTATTCATCTTTTGAATTGTTGTTGAATTTGCATTTTAATCTTGACTAATAATGGTATTTCTTTAGCTTTTCCATATTCCCATATGTTTGCTGTCATTGCATTTCAATTTGAAAATGTGTTCTGTTCCAATAAAGTCTTGGAAAAAAAGGAAGATCTAGTACGGAGTAAGCCATACATTTTATACAACAAATCACAATTAAAAATGATGACGTCGTTTAGATTTCAGTCCATTTATTTGAATTACTAGACAGTGATCCATAACTTCTTTGCACATCCTCAATACAGCACTTAAGACTCACGGGTAAGAGGACAATCCGTTATCTATGAGGGGACATGCACTGATGCACAAACACACACATACATGCGTGTGGACACACAAGATATTGTGCTTTACAGAAATCCCATCTTTAATTTACTGAGGTTTATTCTTAAAGATCCAAGAGAAGCTGAAGAGATGATTCCCAGTCTATATATCGTAGAAAGTGATTGAAAACACACACACGCTTGCAGAGCTGAAAGGATATGCTCCGACACTCCACTGATAACTTGGTTTCATATTTAACTTATTCCTCTTCGGTTTCAGATAGACTCTATGAAGTTGTAATTGTATTTTTTGTAGATTTGTTTCCCCCAGTTTTAAAAGGAGAATTAAGGAGTGGATTGCTTAAATGCAGTAATTGGTCATCTATGGCACAAGGTTTTTTTGTGCACACAATGTGCTTTTATTGTACATTGCTGACACACATGTCGCCTCTTTATCTGAAATACTGACAGTGTGACCAGTAAAGGGTGATATTATTGCTTCACTGCTCCTCATGCACACAACTACAACATGATAGACTCTACAAATCGATTTGTGCAGTGTAGTCTGGTTTGTAATTGCATTTCCTACTCCCTACCGTGAACAACGATGCTACTTTGTAGGTGCTGCCAAGCGTCACGCTCGACTATATAGTTCTCTGGATTGCCAGTGTTGAGGTACAGTAGATGCTACAGCAGCCATAAAGAAAGAGATCCAACTCTTTAGTTTTAACAGGAGCTATTGCAAGTTTTGTTTTCATATTAAACTCCAGTGTCTAATTAACAAACACTGACACACACACACACACTAGCTTAACAAGCCTTTGACTTTTTCCAGCTTCACCCGTACAATACAACAGTGACTTCAGAACATTGAGATAACCTATCCATTTAGGATGTTGGTGTTTAAGAGCTGGTGGCACCGGCTGCGTCTGGTCTGTTGGGAAGACGAAGGAACAAAACGGAGACATTAAAGGCTGGTATGTTTATGTATTGGTGAAAGAAGAAAAATGGCCTTGAGTAAGCAGTGTGTGAAGTTAAACATCTTGGAGGACTTACTCTGTTCTGCCTGCTGCTGTTGTTGGATCCAGTCCCAGCAAAAAACTATTCCGTCTTGAATGAAAGAAGAAAATAAAGTGGTTGTTAGAGCAGAATTTATTGTCCTGAAGTGTTATAATGCTCTGGTATTTGGTGAATTTTAAGATGTGCAACTTATGATGCAATGCACAATTAATCAGACAGAGAACAGTGCGTGACTTCTACAGTGTCGTTTCAACATTAATTATCAGTGTAATAGATCACTCTGCAATAAGGACTGGCTCTTTTATTTTACTGTAATGATAAATGAGATGTAAGCGATGCATTTAGCATCTTTAGCAACTTTTTTTCCCCCCCCGTGTCCTTCCTAGAATTGCATCCATAGCCAAATCCAATTGGTTCTCATCCAACAGAAGAGTCCCTGTGATCTAAAAGTGAGCCATCTGATGAATGAGCGCTCCAGCCAAGGATAAAACTGAGGCAGGGGCCACTGCCTTCGCAGGGGGAAATAATGAGAGTAAATGCTTACTTTGAGTTATCTGCTGCCTCCTTCAGTTCCTTGTCAAGTCTAGAGGTGAGAGTTCAAATGAAAAGATGAATATAAAGTTATTTAATAAGACAACTGAGGCTTTTGAGGAGGTGGTGCAGGTGCAGCGTTTGGGGCTTTGGAGGGACTCGCCTAATGATGCACTCTGGGATCTGGATGCAGTCCATGGGGATGGATTTGTGCAGTTCGTCCAAACTGTTCACGTACTTAATCTTACTGCTGAACTTGGTGCTGTGACAAGAGCAACACACACGCATGAAAAGCACAGTGAAAGTAACCAGCTTGGCGTCAGAGAAACTCAATTATAATCATTTATTTCTTTCAAAAGTAAAACTTAAGTAGTTTAACTCTGCTGCAGTGGGCCAATCAAAACGTGAACGGTCTTTTACTTGCATTTCTAGTCGTCCAACCACTCAAAGCCCTTTAACACTACATGACATTCACCCATTGATTCTTATCAGTAACATTTTGCTTACTGTAATCAACAACAAAGTGAGAGATCAAATGGGAATTGATGCCTTTTGTCTGGCTTATCATTTTGTAGACAATGCAATGGCAGAGTAATTTAACTTGCGAATAAGGATCAAAGGTTGAGCTCAAGATTTCTATGTCAATTAATAACTAATTATAAAAAATACAAAGAATTTAGCTGGAGACCAAAACAACTTTGAAGTATTTTTTCTTTCCAACACTCTGGTGTCTTCAAGTCCTTTGCAGGGCACTATTGTCTGTACAAATGTTCATGGCAATCCATCTATTAGTCGTCCAGATGTTTCAGTGGTGGACCGACCAATAACCTGACATTAAATGCTCGACTATCACTGCAATCCCTCAAAATGAAAATGGGATCAATTTGTACCTGATGAAGGGCTTGGTAATGGCTAGAACAGTCCTGATAAACCATGACGGATGGAGAATAATGAAGGATTTCAAATTCTTCCTGAGCCTGAAGACGACACAATATCACATGTTAGATGTGTTTATGTTGCATTTTCACAAGTTATGCTATTGTTATCTCTCACAAGATCATGATATTATCACATGACAGACCTTCTGTCAATCATCTGATAGCATTTCTTTAGCCAACCAAGGCCAGGCATTCTTCTGTGGGGTGTGGCTCCATTCAGGTACACGATCATGTAGTCCTCTGCAACCATCAGCTCCAGTGTACTGATCACATAGCTCAAGACAAACAAACACACACACACACACACACACACACACACATTTAAATACTTAAAAACTCACTGACTTTGACTTCCACCCTAGGAATTAGCACTAAACACAAAGTACAGCAGAGGCTGATGGTAATGACATTAGGTATTTGGTGATAAATGATGACATTTTGACAAAAGTTCTAACAATTCATCGGTATGGGAAGATGAACGTCTGTACACAATTTCATGGCAATCCTTCCAATGTCGACTTCTTGTGCTACAAAGAAGTACGGGGTTAACTCATGGATGTCTGTACAAATTCATCTAATACATGTTGAGGTATTTAAGTCTGAACCAAAGTGGTGGATCAACTGACAGACCTATATTGCCATCCATAGAAGCATGGCTTCATGCTCCTGAGATATCACATTCCCAAGAATGGGACGGACGGACGGACAACCACGACGGGCAGGCATAAAAATGTGACAAATACACCAAAACCATTAGCTAGTGTGTAGAACAACTAGGACAATAACATTGTAGTTGTTACATTGCGACTATAATGTTACACAACATTGTGCCACCATCACAACTGCGTACCCCTTGCAAAAACTCTCCCATTTCTGCCACTGCATCAGTCATGTATTCCAATCAGGAAACATTTCAGAAACCAAAAGGAAAACAATGTCTAGGTTTTTAACATTATGTACGTCAGAATGGTGAAATGCAAGAACAATAACCTTGTTTTGTGACTCTGAATGGCAACAATATGAGGAAATAGGAGACTGTCTTTTTCCGTGTTTGGAGAACTACCAGAACTTCAAGAAATGTCTCTACTCTGATGTAAGCTACGAGAAACTGGTACAAATGTTGCTTCATGGATGAGCTGTTTTGCTTTGAATTTCTCCTTTTTTTAAATTCTCTTGCATCCATCTCAGCAGCTCAATCAGACTTCTACCTTTAAAAAAATCCAATACTGTGAATCAAACCAATTTATTTTTGATCTCTTTCTCATTTCTCTCCTCAATCCCCCCCACCATCTCTCATTATTCTCGGTCAGCAGGGAACTTTGTCATCTCCTTTGAAAATAGTTGACAATATTTCTAGCCAACACAGTCCTCTCTAGTTTCCTCAATAACTCCTCTTTCGTCAATGACTCGGGGCTCACTCCGACTCTCCTCTCTTTCTGATCCAATGTCATTCTCCAGCTTACAAATCAACACCGCTGATCCACTCTGTTTTGTGACTATTGTGATCATCTCTCACTGACATCAAGCTGCATACCATTCACCTCCCAGCTATAGTTAACTCCTCCTCGCAAGGATTCAGACATCAAGCCATCTGGCATCAGAAAGTGCAGACGCTATGGTTTACCTCCTTTCATTTCTGTCCAAAACTCTCAGATATGCCAGCTTACTCAATATCTTTCACAGAACAGCCTGTGGGATCCCAATCACCCTGTCCAAGCATGAAATGTATCTGTGCCAGCACCACAGTGAAGACATCAACATGGGAGGTCTCTACAAACAAGCTAGACGATCACTTTAATTCAATAGTTTTCCTTGAGCAGAAAGGCCATGGCAGATTTGAAGTATTAAGAAGCTTCATCAACATGCAAAATACTATTTATAGAGAATAAAACGCATCTTTTGATTGTGGTCCCTGGTGCCGTTTGCTTTGTATGAATTCAAAAAGGATGGCTTCAGGTCTTAAAATGAAAAAGAGCCTGATATGTGTCATTAAAAGGGGTTTCAGCACTGCTAGCAGCTCTGTGAGACTTTGTTGCTTTGAGATACATGTATGCCGGCATGCAAACATGCTCACAATGACAATGCTAACATGTTGAGGTTTAGCAAGCATGTCAATGTTAGCTTGTTTGCATGGAAATAAAATGGCAAATTAACTCTAAAAGCAAACATGGTGATCCTCTGACTTTTCCACTAGCGCCACCATGAGGTTGGATGAAATCTCAAAGGGTCACCAAAGTAAGGGTTTGTCCTCTGGGGACCATGAATGACTGTACAACATATCACTGCAATCCATCAGATAGTTTTTAAGCCATGCATGCTAGCGGCATGGTTCTATGGATGGCAGTATAGGTCTGTCAGTCGATCCACCACATTCGTTCAGAGTCAAATAACATTTACTAAATTAATTTGTACAGAGATTCAAGCTAAAAAGGAAAGGCATAACATTACTCCAAGGGCAATAACTGATATTTCTCGACAACTTAAAAAGTAGGCCAGTGTATAAACTATTGAAAAAGTAAAAGAGTGTGTGTGTGTGTGTGTGTGTGTGTGTGTGTGTGTGCGCGCGTGCGTGCGTGCGTGCGTCATTGCAGAGTAAAACTCACAGGAAGAGGTTCTCCATTATTTCATGGTAGTCCTCTCTGTCACTGTCTGGCAGGAAACAGGCAGCAAACACTATGATGGCATTCCCTCCGTTGCTATAGTAGCCTTGATAAAAACACAAAAATAAAAGTAATAAGAGTTAACTGATTCTGTTCCATTGTTGGTGAGAGCTTAACCTTAATTAGCATAGTTTTCATAACTTGATTGCTCCCATATTTTCCTCTTTTTTGTTCAGTTAATCTGCCAATCTGTGTCTCTATTGTCTGACTGTCTCTCCGTCTCGTTTCCTCTCACTATTTTAATGATAACTAATGATATTTCCTTTTATTTACCAACCCATTCATCACCAAATTTGGTGTCACTCAGACAGAGGGTCTTTTATCTAAGTGACAGAGCTTGTGATATTGTCAGTGACAGATATCTTGGTTTCCATGGGATGGCTGTGTTTCACTTAAGCCCGCAGCACAGTGGGAAGAAAATACGCTACCTTCCCGTGGCCCTTGGATGTTAGAGGGCCCCATAGAGAGGAAAGAAAGAGATGGGGCCCCTGCCTGTGAAACCAAAGCCTGATGCCGTATCCGGCCTCAATTTAAGACCCAGGTCCCCCAGCAGCCTTAAATGTGGCAACATAGATGGCGCAAAAGCAACTAAAAGTGTTTTAGTAAGGGTTGGGTGACCATTAGAAAAAGCCCCAATGCTCCCTGGCTCTCTCTGTGTTTTGTCGAGCTGAAATGATAAGTCAATTAATTAAGTAGTGACAGAAAAGGGTATTATTTTAATAATAGATTACAATTTTTCAAGCTTGAATGCCAAGAAAGTTTTGGTTATAGCATCTCAAATGTGAGGCTTTGCAGCCTTTATTTTCTGACATTTTATAGAGTAATAATTTGAGAAAGTTTTTGACAGATTCACTGAAAATGCAGCCCTAGTGTTTCGATTATTGTTGTGCAGAGCGCTATCAACACATTCCCACACACGTTCCCATCATTTTGTGTAGATGCAACCACACCCATTTCTCTGTGTTTTTTCTTTGATTGGTCACTTGTCTATTCACACTAGAGAGTTGTAAGGGACTGCAGAGGCCACCCTTTATCAAAAACACAGTGTATATTGTTGTCAAGTGGCCAATTTATAACTTGAACCCTATTGTTCTAATGTGCGGAGGACGTGAAAATGTCCACCGTGTTTTGTTTGTGGAGAGTTCCCTTTCGGGTGGCCACTGGATGATGTATTACTCATCAGCCTCATTCTGCCGTCTCAGTACCCGAGAAGTGGCAGACGCCAGCTCCAAAACAATAGCTGATTGTGATACAGTAGACCAGAGATTATGACTTTTATAGTGTGCTGTTACTTCCAGAATCAGATATTCAGACCTGCTGTCGACTCAAGCGCAACATATTTACTGTGTACAATCATTAAGTATTCCCACATAAATTCTCACATTTTTTCAGATCTATCTTAAAACCTATTGATGCACTAACCTTATACTTTACGATGAAAAAATGTGATATTCAAAATGTCTGACAAGAAAAAAAATTATACATCCATTTCCAACCTCTGTAATAAACCTAAACTCAATAAATAATGTTTATATGTAATGTAAGTATTTCCACCTTTACTACAACGAGTTGCATTAGCTTGGACTGGTGTTTCTAGCAGCTGTTTAGGAGAATTATCTGCAAATAAAAATAGATTAAATCATATTTTAAACCCAGAAATGCAACAGTGGAGGTGATTAGTGTCTGCAGAGCTTCTGCTCAGGATGCGAACAAACTCAGCAACCTGCCTCCAAGAAAATATTCCAGCCTAATAGCTGTGAGCACACGGTAATACTGAAGGCAATTTACTACCACTTCGATCAACTTCTAATTTTAGCGGATAGACAGGAAGAGGCCACTGTTTAGAGTTTACTGAATAAGTCAAATATGATTCTGAAAAGTGGCCATAGTGGAAATTATGCCCTTGCATAGGCTCTTTAATAGTCACCTCCGTGGGAGATGACTCTCATGTAAGGCTCGATGACCTTCATGTTGATGCGGTGCTCCTGCTCCCCAATGACGACCGTCCTCCATAGTTTGCCGTCCTGGCGCTCCTCCTCAGCGCTGTATGTCGGGATTGGATTGTAAGGCTCACTTGTCCTGCTCCTATTGGCTGCATTGGGGTCTGATAGAAGAAAAGACCAATACTGTGTTATAGGCACAGGTGTTACTAACATCATTGGGGATGGCTCTGCTGAGTTCAAATGTGTGACATTTAATCAGCATGTACAATACCAGGACCCTGCAACTGAAGCAGCTAAATGGAATTCAGCCATCAAAAGAGGTACTGGTAAAACGATTTAGAGGGGAGATATTATGAAAAACTCACTTTCTCAGTGCTTGTGCACATACATTTGGATATCTGGAGTGCCTACCAATCCACAAACTGTGAAATAAGACAACCCAGTCAGTTTCTCTGTGGGCTGCTTAGGTCAGAAAACATGTGATTCAATGAGCCATTCAGATCTGGCTCCCCTTCCTATGTCGCATGCAGGATTCCTATCGGAGTCTCTCCACCCACGGCTTGAAAACTGCCTTTGCAAAGGTGCCAATCAGAGCACACTGGTCTATTTCGGGAGGGGGGACAGAGGGTAACACAAATATATTCAGACAGGCAGAATAAAGAAGTGTTTTTTGAACATCAGCAGAAGCCCAAAATACAAATATGAACCTAAAAATTAGCATGATACGTCCTCTTTAAATTCATGGTCAACCTTGGTGGTTTGTGGAATTAGACCATAAAGCATAATAAGTTATAGTAGATGCATCAAACTGACATTGTCTGTATCCTGAATGACCCACCTTCCCAGTCCATTTCATGGTCCATGTAGTCAAGGTAATCCCCCTCATCAGGAGTGTCCAGGTCATCAACATTAATGTCAAGATCATCTGGCGTCTCCCCCAAGTCATCCTCGCTCTGGTCCAGTGACAGGCTGATTCGAGGGGCAGAGAGCTTTTTTCTTTGGCTGGGACCTCCTTGCAGGGGAAGAGAGGTAGGCGGGACTACAACAAAACAATACATAAAAACAGTTGGTCACTTTCTTTCATTTGTTTCACTGTTGGTATATTTTAAATCATGAGCATTGGTTGACTGATACTCACCGGGTCTGCCTTCGCCCCCTTCAGAGTTCATTTTACTCTCTGATGCCAGGTCCATCCCCACGAGGACCTATGAGAAGATAATTACAGTTATTAAATATGATACAACAGAAACCTGGAGATTATCCAGACTGTGGTGTAATGCAGCACCTGTGATTCCTCTAATCTGAATCTGGAATCTTAATCTGATTTTTAAGTGAAGAAGACTAGTTGAATGCAAATTTCAACTTGAGCTAAACATTAAAACAAGTAGTGGAATTTAAATTTGCTCAAGTACTGCACTTGAGGATATTTGAGGTACTTTACATGAGAATTTCCATTTCTTTATACTTCAACTCCAGTACATTTTAGAGGGAAATACTTTTTTCTTTTTATTCCACTACATTTATGTGGTCGCCTTAGTCACAAGTTACTTTACAGATTAATACTTTACATATAAAACACATGATACATGTCATTCATAAACAGTGTCACATCATATAGTTTGTCCACCAGAGAGCACTGACACGTCTATTTAACTGTATATATGCATGTATGTGCAGCTTAGTATGAACCTTGATCACAATTCTTTAAAAAAACAAATCTAAGAGATCCACGTGAACATCAACGTTAATCTTGTGTGTTCATGTTGAAAGAGTACCATGGGACAATATACCTGAGTCAGACATCACAATCAGTAATGGCCTCAAAACCTCCAGCATCTGTCGGACTATACTACAAAGCATTAGTAAAAGAAGCCCCCCAAACACCAGCATGTGTTAACAGACGGTGTAGGCAATGGATTTTACTTAATAATCTATCTATACCACTGATATATTTCCACAGCTCAGAGAACAGGGGGAGTAAGATAACAATGGTAAGGTTGTAAGGGGAGGGATGAGGAAAATGAGAAAGCTTTTGAGGTTAAAGGTCATCTTCCCCAGGGAATAATCCTTCCATTCAAACTGGAGGAGGGGGAGGATTCTGAGGCGCGGGGGGGGGTTGTTACATCATGACAAGCTCATTCCCCCTCCTCGCTGTCTTCTTCTATTGCTGATTCAAATCGAATGACCGTACGCTCGCATGAGCACAGATTGGGCAGAGATGCAAATTCACAGTGAGTCACGTGTGCTCATTCGCATGAAAAAATAAACAGCCTTGTTCCTCTTCGGGAGACTCTGCCTGGAACAAGGAAGATGCGATTGTAATACAGCTGCAAAAGAAAAATGACGATGGCCGACTCGTAATGCTGACGATTCACATGTACAGTATGTGCACACACAACAGAGACAACAAACATACAATGACACGCTATCCGACATCGCAGAACAACAAAAACCAGCCTCAGCTGTTATGTGCATCCTCCATGGAGGATGCTGAGCTGCTTCAGATCCACTTCAACAGCACAGCACAGGATCACAGTGCTGATGACAGCAGCTCCTCCCTCACTCTCGCTTCCTGTCTGCTGGCTGTGAGGGGAAAAAAAATTACAAGAACATATCCCTTTATCTTCTTTGTGTCTCCGTGGAATAAAAGCCATTTACTCACCACTGCTGGGGCTCGGGAATCTCTGTCCTTTTGCGTGGTTCAGTGCATGGATGTACTTCCAAGTTCCCTGCCTATTTCCTTTTTTTCCCAGCCTCTCGATGGAGATGCTCAGCTTACGGACAGCTCACAGCTTCCACCATTTTGTGGTCACATGACTGGGCCATTACCAAATAAGGGCGATCACCTGCTAGAACAGCTCTCTGCACAGCAGCTTCCTCAGGCAGTGTTACTGAATGGAGATATAGGAGGAGTTGTGTTTGTGTCATTATTCTCCTCGACTGGAGGGGGTAAACTCTGCGTGTATGTGTAAACGCTGTTATGTCATTACTACCTAGTAATGTGGGTCTGCCTTTAATGCCCGACAGTAGATTTATGAGCCTGACTTTGCAGTTACAAGATTATATTAGCCCTTGGGGTTAAAAAAAAAAAAAAAAAAAAAAAAGCAATAATCAGCTGTCAGTTTCATGCGCTGATAATATTCACACGCTTTACCACAGGCTGGTAAGAATATAGCGACTGAACCAAAGCAAATATCTGATGCTTACCATTCCCCTGTATGTAAGGCAACTTCAAGTGTGTTCTTTATATTCTGTATTAGCTTTGAACTTTTTAACCCTTAAACAAGCAAACTACTGTATGGCTGCAAAGCTAAAAAGCAATAGTACCTGTCCTAGACAGTCTCTCCTTCCGTGTGGAAACAGGTCTGGTTCTCTGCACAGGTCTAACTCCGCTGACTGACTCTTTTCACTTACCACTGTTCAGTCCCGACAGGAAGGCAGGAAGACAGAGAGCAGCCTGTCAGACCTTTGCACATTGTTGACCATTGTTTGGTTCAAAGGTTGTTGCCACAGTGTGCCAATCCACCACGTCTGGAGCTCCAGCATACAGCAGACACGCCCCAAAAACAGCTTTTGGTTAATCAGTGCAATGCTGCCGCTGTCATATATCATGAGATACCTCTGGTTTTTTTCCTCATATACATTTTTTAATGTCAATAAAAAGGCACAGAATCCAGTTCATCTAAATACAGAAATGACATGTGGTTTCAATGTCTCTGATTTAAAGTAAGAAAAATATTATTTTCATAGGCTACATGGTTGTTGTTACATAAAAACATCAGCATAAATATATAGTAAGGCACTCTAGTTCCCTGCAGGCTATTCTTTCACTTCCTCCTCCCAGAGCTGTGAAGCAGGGAGGGTTGCATAGACAAGACTTTGTCTAACCAGTTTGATACCATTTAATGTTGACTATCAAACAGCATGGGAATGAAAGGAACTCCTCTGTAATAGTTTAGTACAATGATTAACTGGCATTGCAGTTGTCCATTTCTCTTCTTTAGCAACAGAAAATGTGCTTTTCTACCATGTATTAAGAAATGGCATATTCTGTCTGTGTTTTTACAGTGGAATAGATAAATATAAGATAAATGTCCTGACAATGCTGTCACATTGCCTTTCTTTGATGTCTGTGAACAAGCTGCAACCGACAGCAAATAATAGATAAAAATGTCCATAAAAGTGTTACAACATGTGACTGTATAACCTGTCTCCTTGTTCCTCAAGGGGAAACCACCACTTTGTTTGTTTTTAAGTTCTGGCAACCACAGCTGCCAGTATTTTACCGTATATTACACAGAATGTTTTTTACTGTGGGTCTAACCAGTCCATGTTGTCTCTGAAGATGGTATCTTTGACAGCTTTGAAGACCACCCGGATGTTGTTTGTGTCCGTGGCACAGGTGTAGTGTCTGTAAAGGGGTTTAGGATGCCCGCGGTGGTTCTCCATATACATTTGCAAGATGAATTGTTCCGCGGATCTGGCATCACACTGAGGCCCTGTGGAGGCAAATGTGGTCAAAATCTTCTTTTAGCAAAACAAATTACATAATTTTTCACTCATTTAATTCTGCCACAATAATAGGCACTCTATAGTTAACTATATAGTGAAGAGTCAAGTGAAAATTTAGACTGTTAGCAGAAATTAGTGTGGAAGTCATGGACGACTAACATTTTGTTCCATTGTGGGATTTCTTTTCTTTTCGCTATCAATTAATCTTCTGATTCTATTCTTGATTAGTTTTGATACGTGTTGGAGAAAATATTCAGAACTAATCAATTAATCATTTCACCTCAACTCAGAATACTCAAACAGAATAAAATGACAATTACCAGTAAATGCCGGGAAGTAGGTTGCCAAATGAGACCGTTTGATTTTCTCCTCTAGCAAGTCCCTTTTGTTCAGGAAGAGGATGATGGAGGAGTCTTGGAACCAAGGGTACGAGAGGATGGTCTTGAACAAGGCGAGGCTCTCTCTCAGTCGATTCTGTAGGAGGTGAGAAAAGACAAAAGACTAATGTATGGAAATAATAGTTGTTTTTACAGCTGGATGGTGAATGAAGGAAAAGTTACTAAGAAATGTAGCCATGACACGAGGAATAAAAAATCATTAGGAATTTTGAAGCAGACTGAGAGGTTTTGACCTTACATCATTCTCACTCTCGTAAAGGACTTGATCGTACTCGCTGAGGGCCGCCAGAAATATGATGGAGGTGACATTCTCAAAACAGTGGATCCATTTCTTCCTCTCTGAGCGCTGACCACCCACATCCACCATCCTAGACACATGACCATGGATTGAAGTAAAATATGAAATGTCCTTAAAGGAATCATTCAGCATTTTGAGAAAATATACTTATTTGCGTTCTTGCTGAGAGTTAAATAAGAAGATGCTAAATATGAAGCTAGAGCTTAGCATAAATACTGGAAACAGAGGGAAAAGGCTAGCGTGGTTCTGTCCAAAGGTTTAAAAAAAAAAGTCAGCCTACCAAATGATTTTCTGACTAAAACAATACACAAAGAAGAATTGTAATTGGGTTTTAGCACCCAGCAAACACTATGTTGTGTAATACAAGGTCAATACCCTACCTGAAGATGACCTGTGAAAGGTCAAAGGGGTACTCTATGATGCCTGTGGTGGGGATCCTGACCCTCAAGACGTCTTGCACGGTGGGGATGTACAACAGGCCCGTGATTCTGTCCAAGTCGTCGAGGTAACTGAAAAGTTAACAACAATGAATCCACATTTCATAGTCTGACAGGATAAAAGAGAACGTTAAACAGAAATTTGTATTGGTTGCATGCATATTAATAACTAAGTTGTATCAGTATGAATCCCCATTCTTAAGTATAAGTTGATGAATACAAAATGAAGCACTGCAAAAGCTTTGGTCCTGTGAAAGAGCCTTGGGTTTATATAAAAGTCTTACTATTTGGCAGAGTCAGACAACTGGAATTCCCTCCTGCGGTCGTAGCATCTTTGAACACTGCGGTCATTCCACACCCTCCTAATGCCGTCCACCTGCCAAGCCTCCAGAGTGGACACCTGGTCTGCCTCCACTTGGCTCAGCTTCTGTGCGTCGCTCTGACACACACAAGACATCCACAGGGGATTTTTCTAAACACACATTTTCAATTGTTGACTGACCTATTAATAGACCATCAGGAGGATGAGAACTGCAACAGAACTCCAATCTCGAACTAGGTGGATTTTGTGGAAATAAACAGAAACTCTTATGTGGTAAAAGTAGTTTGCACTCTATGGATGTTAATGTCCACCATTTTTGGTCTGGACTGAAATATCTCGACAACTATTGGACCGATTGCCATGTCATGGTCCCCAGACTATAAACTCTAATGATGTTGGTGATCCCCTGACTCTCCCTCCAGCGCCACCATGAGGTTCACATTTGAGGTTCACATTTGTGTCTCTAGCAGCACCATCGGGTTAAGATTTGAATTTGTCCAATACTTCGGTTCATGACCTGCAAAACAAATTCCCATCAGTCTGAGCTGTACGTTATGCTTAGTGCTAAGTATCAAGTGTTATCACGTTAACGTCCCAAACTAAGATGGTAAACATAGCCTATTAGCCCGCTGACTTTAGCATTTAGCTCAAAGTACGGCCTCACAGAGCTGCCAGCATGGCTGTAGACTCTTGTTGTCAGTGACACACTGAGCTTTATTGAAGCTTTATTTATTTTTTTAAACCTGCACAGTTTCTCACAATGTTCTGGTCATCGATGTAGTCAATCCGTAGAGTCTTCATGGCGTCGATCAGCGCCTGGATGGATGTGACGATGTTCTGAAACACCAGCCGAGCGAAACCTTTCCTGTCAGCTTCACTGTATCCAGTGCCATGGAGGATCCTCATCTGTTTGATGAACGTGCTCTTCCCACTTTCACCAGTCCCTAGGCAAATGAGATGAATGAGACCAAAGGATGAAAAATGGAATAAGATCAAAGCAATGCCAGAAATAGGACAAGCATTTAAAAAAAAAAAAAAAAAAGAAAGAAAGAAATCATCTGAACATCAATCAGTTGCAGCTAAACAGGATTTCGGCAACAAACAAACCAGAAATCTGTATTCTTAACAATGCAAGAAAATGTTTAGATGTTCAAGTTTCACAGATTTGGTGTTTATTTCCCAAGCTATAGCTGTGAGTATGTATACGTGAGTGGGCGCATATAGTATATACTTGGTTTCTTCAGGTGTATGCAAGCTGTCAACCTTGCATGTGTTTCTATTAAACGCCCCATTACTGAGGTTTTTGCTGAGATACAACAGCATGCACGGGTACTGGTAAGCATGCTCTTTATTTTACATCTGAAGGTTTGCGTTTGATCCACACGAGTCAATGCACAGCCATGTGCCTCTAAGTGAAACAGTTTCCTGCCGCCTGGTTGTTAATTTCTCTCGATAAGAGTGTCGGTTAAGCACCTAAAATGCCAGAAATGTTAACCATTAGACTGACCTTTACAGGAGAATATTCCAATCTCCAAACTCAAGTTGAAGTTTAAAGCAGCGCTGGCCTTTAAAACAAAGTCCTTCAGGCATTGTTTCCAACGTACCCAACAGTCAAGCTTTTATAAGTGGGCTGTTTTGATATATCTGGGAAATATAGGCCTCATTTGAAGCTGTGACTTATTTCATTCGACTGATACCCATCACCCATCATGGTCGCCAAAATAAAGCTTTGCACTATATGAAACAATCATTGTCTTTTTATGTTCTGCACTCTGCTCTTTCAACTAACTTGTTAAATGTATTTTGCATATGCACAATTCAGACAAAAGCAGCAAAGCAAAACAAAACAATAAGAAGACAGCCTGCATGCATTGCATTGACCCAACATAGCTTTTACAATTAATCATTATAATTGCAGACTCTGTCTTGTGAGCTAAAACATCCTAATCTAGCAACAGCACATAAAGCAGGCCTTCAGCAAGTATTCGAAAAATGCAAAAGGTAACCTGTAGGCCTACCTACAATAAAAAGCCACAGTGCAATCAAAACACATACCAAAGCCTTGCTATCTATCGATCCAGATACTTTTGTATTTGCAGGGTTTCTCAGTCAATCGTCTACTGTGGTCCAGACTGGAATATCTCTAACTATATACTTTTAACTTTTGGGTGGATCATGGTCCCCAGAGGATGAATCTTTTGGTTTTGGTGAAATGTCCCAACAACCATTGAATGGACTGTCAAGCCATTTATGAGAACCACGCCACGTTAAGGATTATTTCACCCACAAAATAACTTTAATCCAGTAACCGGTTTGTGCAGCAGAAGATAATCTGCATCGTTCACGATGACCACTATCTTCTTTAAAAGACTTACTAACGTCTGCCAGCTTCACGCAATTGACAGCAACACTTGACAAACAACCAATCGGATTGCAGCGGGGCAACAAGCAATCAGCCCCACATGGCATCAGATTTGTGCTATCCGCTGTCACTACCAAAGGCTTTGGGAATGCGTATTGTTGTTTTTCCCAAACTCCCGGCACTTGGTGGTGTGAGTTTGGGGCTAGCCACACAAAGCGGCCTCTCCCGCCAAGCTCAATTAAAACACAATAACACTACTCTATCCAGCCACTGCACTTAATTTGCAGATGAGGATGTTATGCATTTATGAAGAATTATATTCATTTCTAAATTCCACTAAATATACATTCTTTTTTCTGAGGTCACCTCTAGCCTGTAATGACAGCAGGACAGAGGTGAGTGTACGTCGTAGATGTTTAGACATCTCTGGTAATATCTAAAAAGTTGGAAAACTGACTAAGATGGTGAACATGGGAAATATTATGTCTGTCAAGCATATACGTTAGTATGCGGATGTTAAAATTTAGCTCAACGCACCCATGGAAAATGTTGCACTCAGTAGCCTACATAATTTGGTCAAAGTTCTTAAAAAAAAAAAAAAAAAAACTAAAGTTGGCCAATAAAAACAATTTGCTCCTGAATCAATGTCTAAACTAACAATATAAGTAAAGCAGGCTCCATCACACTACAGCTACCATACTTTATTTCTAACATATCATTAAATCACATTGACTACTGGATGATGCCTCATCACAGGCACTTCTTTTGTTACAACAAGATTTCTGTTGAGCTAAATGAGTCAGTATAGATCAACCCAGACACGGAAACAAAAAACGTTTGGCTTACAAATTACAGTAATTCTATTCACCTGAGTTGCAACCATTAAATGAAATATAAAACAACCTATAATGATAACAGTTTTAAGTCATTTTGTGGACTACATTTAAATGGCAATATTCAAATTTTGATGGACTATATATTCAACGTCCATTTTTGTGAGTTTTAAATGTGTCAGAAGGTGAAAATGTAGTATTTAATTGTTTCCAAACATTTTCAATCACAGTGTGAACGTATGGAAGTATATTCATAAAGTAAACTGGCACTCACCTAAAAGCAGCAACTTTAACTCCTTGTGAGATTTCTTTTTATCAAGACGAAGTTGCCTCTCTATTTCTTTGTGTACCCTGCGTCTCTCCTTATTCTCATCACTATCTGGCCGGCAGCACTCATCCATTCTTGTAGTCGACGAGCCGCTTTAGGTGAAACTGTGCCGCAGCTGACAGGGATTTAGTGAACTGAATGGATATCAACTTTTCACCGACCTGTCCCGACCGGACAGGTCGGTGAGTCCTACTGCCTCATGCAGGATCCAGTTCAGGTGCATTCCGCATTCCTGGGGAGGCGGGCGGATGGGCGGCCTGGCCTGGCAAAAGGCAATGCGAGTCTATGTAGGCGGCTCTTGTGTATCTGCTTACAAATCCACGCTCCAAAAAGGCCGCTGAATCTGAAAGTCTATGCAGGAGGGGAAACATAATGGGGGACACCCAGGTGCATTACAAAACATCTGTTTAAATGGGTTTAATCCGACTCTCTCTCTCTCTCTCTCTCTCT